AAAGAACACAGAAGTTTTAATTATCGTGATTTTTGTTTTTATCTATCTCAAATAAAGAACACAGGAGTTTTAATTATCGTGATTTTTGTTTTTATCTATCTCAAGTAAAGAACACAGGAGTTTTAATTATCGTGATTTTTGTTTTTATCTATCTCAAGTAAAGGACATGGGAGTTTTTATTCATATTTGTAAACTAAAACATGGAAATACAAAATATAAAAAAATTACAAAATTTTTCAGATTATAAATGGAGTTTCATTATGATTTTTGACATAAGACGAGTCCCCCGGTAGGACAGCCGTAAGCCTTCGGATTTACAACGCTAAGACCAATGGTTCGATTCCCCTCTGTGGACACAGCAGTTAGCTCGATGTGGCTTTGCTATAACAAAAAACACACACTAACCACGAAACGAATAACATAACATAAGTCTATGTCGTCGCATTTACTTACATGGTATTTTTCATCCTGGTACAAAAACACCCAGAAATCTTTGCGGAATTATTATTCTCCAATCGATACAAACACCTGATCAATAATTTATTGTATTACTTCTCCATCAGAGTTGAAAAACCCATCGAGATACCGTTTAATTGTAGCAAGTCAAGAACAATATGGCTTTTGTTTGAATTGTAGCAAATCCAGAACAATGTTGTTTTTAGTTGAATTGTAGCAAATCCAAAACAATGTTGTTTTTATTTCAATTGTAGCAAATCTGGAACAATATGGCTTTTGTTTGAATTGTAGCAAGTCTGGAACAATATGGCTTTTATTTGAATTGTAGCAAATCTGGAACAATATGGCTTTTGTTTGAATTGTAGCAAATCTAGAACAATGTGGTTCTAATTTGAATTGTAGCAACTCTGGAACAATATGGCTTTTGTTTGAATTGTAGCAAATCCAGAACAATGTTGATTTTAGTTGAATTGTAGCAAATCCAAAACAATGTTGTTTTTATTTCAATTGTAGCAAATCTGGAACAATATGCCTTTTGTTTGAATTGTAGCAACTCTGGAACAATATGGCTTTTATTTAAATTGTAGCAAATCCAGAACAATGCGACTTTTATTTGAATTGTAGCAACTCTGGAACAATATGGTTTTTGTTTGAATTGTAGCAAATCCAGAACAATATGGATTTTGTTTGAATTGTAGCCACTCTGGAACAATATGGCTTTTATTTGAATTGTAGCAAATCTAGAACAATGTGGTTTTAATTTGAATTGTAGCAAGTCTGGAACAATATGGCTTTTATTTGAATTGTAGCAAACCTGAAGAATATACATTTATATTTATAAACACTTCACCATTATATAAGATCTAATGGTATTTCTATGGTTTGCTGACCCAAGCTGTGCAGATGAACCTTAAATAGGCGAAACTACGGTCCACAACAGAGGGTACGGCCAATCAAAGAACACAATAGGCCTCTACGTCACAGATTCGCTTTTCAGTTTCACCTCTGGTGAAAAAGAAATCTTTAACATACATACAATATATATTTTGTTTGCATTCGAGCATATCTTGAACAATATGGTTTCTATTTGAAATGTAGTAGGTCTAAAAAATTGTATCACAGTTAAACTTACAATGAGTATCTGGTTGAATTATTATCTTACACAACTAAACTCTTACCGTGTGTATGGTTGAAATTTCACATCAACAGTTAAACCCCTCATCAAGTGCCTATATGAATTTTTCACTACACAGTTAAACCCACGATGACCAGAGTCGGTCCTAAGCAAACGTTTGGCCCGTGCGAACATTATTTTCGGCACCCCTGCTCCTGTAAAATTGACAAGAACTGTTATTTGCAATGTCGATTTTGGCGCCCTTGAGGTGAGAGCCCTGTGCGGGAGCACACGTCGCCGACTCAAAGAGTCGGTCCTGACGATAACTGCTTCTCTATACTTTTATGCCACAGAGTTAGGCCTACTCTAACTATCTCTTTGCATTTTTATATCACACAATTAAACCGATGCTGACTGTCTGTTTAAATTTTCCAATCACATTCCTAAGGCCGGCATGGCCAGGTGGTTAGGGCACTCGACTCGCAATCTGTAGGTCGCGGGTTGGAATCCCCGTCACACCAAACATGTTCGCCTTTTCAGCCGTGGGGGCATTATAATGTGACGGTCAATCCCACTATTCGTTGGTAAAATAGTAGCCCAAGAGTTGGCGGTGGGTGGTGATAACTAGCTGCCTTCCCTCTAGTCTTACACTGCTAAATTAGGGACGGCTAGCGCAGATAGCCCTCGTGTAGCTTTGCGCGAAATTCAAAACAAACATTCAACCCACATCACACATACGACGCCACTTACTATTACTTTGATCAGTTAACAACTTTGTGGACTGCAGATTGAGTCGGCAGAGGGAGCGTCGAATCAAAGAATGTATTAAGGCTCTACGTCACAGATTGTATGTTCCATTTTACCTTTGGTGAAAGTAAAAATAACCTGCAATATAAACATTAAGTAGTTGGTCTACAGTATAGTATCAAACAAAAGATTAAGATCAACATCATAATATTATTCACACACCTAAATTAATTTATATTATTATATGGTGAGTTAAGAAGAATTAAGAAACTCTCTAAGATATAATACAAAGTCAACAGTGATTCTCAATCTGAAAATGACGCTTGTTTTTCGTATCGTACTCAACAATGCTTTTTACGTTCCCTGTTCAATTTATAAAATACCTTTGTTGACAGATCATTCGTTTTACATGTCATGTAAGTAGGTTACGTTCATTAGTCTTAACAAAATTGACAGAGGGCGTATGTTATTTTCTTTTCGTTTTTGAAAATTCAGGAGCATTTTTGTGATAAAAATGGTGTTAAAGAACAGAAATATAAGATTTTTTTTCAATGATTTATTATATTACCTACGGTTTTCATTGATTTTGTAGATACGGTTATATTTGCTTAATTCTTTACTACTGGTCTACGTTGTTGTTTCTCTGAACATTTTTCAAACTACACATCGGTACATATTATAGATGCTGTTCTAAAAAGAAATGTATTTGTTTCCAAAAACAGTTTACTTAAAATTTCGTTTAAACTAAAATAATGTAATCTTCGTCGTTTTGTTTCCCTGTATTTGGATGACTTGAAAGTCCTAATCTAGCGAGACTCTTGAGTGATGGCATTTATCCGAAGAACGACAAAGTTCTGAGATTTTTCTTGAAAAGCATCTCTAACTTTTAACGTTTTTCCGCTAGATTGACTTCTTAGTTCGTAAGTTAAAGTAGACAGAAAATACATACGGGCAACTTTAGCGTTCGATCTCAGCGTTCAGGCCATCGTTAAAAACTATTTTCAATTCATCAATTTTTTTCATCGCCCTGGTCTTTTGATTACGGTTTCATTTTTGGCTACTTATTTCAGAACAAGAATGCCGTTAGCTGAAATTGAAGCTCAGATTTGTGGAAATAATGACAAATTACACTTGGAGTGGCATATCGACAAAACTCAAGCGAAACGTCCTGTTCAACGCTGAAAATATTGAAGGTGTTTTATAAATGTTTCAAAACAGCAACGTTAGGCTTAACAAGTGTTGTTGTTAAACCAGCCACGTTAGGCTTAACAAGTGTTGTTGTTGTTATTAAGCGCAAAGCCACACAATGGTTTACCTGTACTGTGCCCACCACGGGTATCGAAGCCCGATTTTTAGCGATATAAGCCTTCAGACTTACTCCTGAGCCACAGGGGGTGGGGCATTCAACCAGAGACATCGAACAGCTCTTTGAGCAGAAACGAGAAGATATATCAGGATATGTCCGCTTCTTATAACTTTAGTGTCCCACCCAATGAATCCATAATTAATCTTGTTAATAAAGTCAATAATTTCACTTGAATCTACAATAAACGTTAAAACTTTATACACTTTTTACACTCATAACCTTGTAGTTTGATAAAATTATTTGACAGTGGAAATTATTAATTAGTTTGTTTGTTTGTTGAATTAGAAATGTTTTTCGAACCAAGATGTAAATTGTACTCGTATGACAAAACACGAAACTTCTAAACTAATATCTTTCCTTCTGTTTATTTGTGATTCAGAAAGAACGTCACGCCAGGAACATGTACCAACTTGTTGTAAAATCTTATTTTTCACTGTGAATGTCACGCCAGGAACATGTACCAACTTGTTGTACGATCTGGCACTTCAGTGTGAATGTCCAACTACGAACATTGATACACAATCTTATATGTCAGTGTTAATGTCACTCCACGAAAACGTATCAAGTTGCTGTGTAATATGATATTTCAGTGTGAATGTATATACCATTATGCATTCTTACTGTATATATCTGAAAGGGTAATTCAAACTGTCACGTGCAGAATTGAATAGATTATCTAGTAGCTTGATAATAAGGATGTACATATTTTTAAAATTATCTGTTAGCTTTATAACAAAGATGGACATGTTTTCAAGATAATCTGTTACCTTGACAACAAAGATGAGTATGTTTTAAAGATTATCTGTTAGCTTACAAAGAGGTACATATTTTCAAGATTATCTAGTAGCTTGATGTCAAAGATGAACATATTTTAAAGATTATCTGTTAGCTTACAAAGAGGTACATATTTTCAAGATTATCTAGTAGCTTGATGTCAAAGATGGACATATTTTAAAGATTATCTGTTAGCTTACAAAGAGGTACATATTTTCAAGATTATCTAGTAGCTTGATGTCAAAGATGAACATATTTTAAAGATTATCTGTTAACTTGATAACAAAGAGGAACATGTTTTCAAGATTGTTTGTTAGCTTGATAACAACGATGGACATTTTGTTAACAAACACTTAGAAAAAAATATCAAGACTATAGACTATATAGGTGTTTTTTTAATTTTCTTACTACGTGATTTAAAATATCAATATGGCAACTTACAACGAGTGTTTGATCTATGTGTCACGAGACACCTGAACCTGCTAGCTTATGTCACAAAAGCAATACGAAAACCCACTATTTGATCTACATGTCAGGAGACACCTGGTGGCTAATGTCACAACGACAATACGAAAACATACAACGAGTATTTCATATACGTATCAGGAGACACTTGGTGGCTGATCTATGTCTTTACTGATGTTCAAATGATCAGTGTGAACGTGCATTACTTCTGGCATGTGCCTGTAAACTTGTATCTTTCAATTGTTGAAACAGAAACAACCATTGTCTTTTATATTTAAAACCTTCGAACTTTATGGCTGGAAAAAATTAAATTTCTTCAGTACACTGCAGACGAAGAACGATTTATACAAATATTCTAATGATTTCTCTGTACTTTCAGATTAGATTATCAAAAGGCGATCCTCTTTTTTTTGTTGTTGTTCTTGTTGTTATTTTGCGTTTGGTTACACTTAGTGTAAGTTGTTATTTGTATATTAATTTAAAGTTACTTTATCCCTGACTTTAAGTGTGTGTATAAGTAAGAGATTTATCCAGTGCCGTATTATGACGTTATGAGGCCCCCAGACGATAAACAAATTGAAATGGAGTCAGGTTTATATTTTTTAGATGCGGCTAAGAGGCCCTATATATTACTAGACCCTAAGCTATAGTTTAGTTAGCTTACGTCTGGCACTGGATTTGTCGGTGTCTTTATTTTAGAAAGGAATAAAAACAATCGAAAATTTAAAAGATTTATTAAAATTTCGTCTTGTCCCACACGTTTGATGTTGAACGTCCTGTTGTTTAGAGTTGGAGAGCATCGTCATAATAATGTACAGGCGTGATTGATTGGATGATGGATTACTCGGAATATTACGATCACTTTTTAATTTGTGGAACATATTTCAGGCTCAGTGGAAAAGGTTTAGTGCTTTAATAAAATGATTTGTTCCAAAACAAAATGACTAATATTTTTGAAACAAGGCCTAGGCATTCAATTATATTATAGACTTTATTAACATTTTTGGAACAAGACTTAGTCATTCATTTACATTATAGACTATATTAAAATTTTTGAAACAAGGCCTAGGCATTCAATTATATTATAGACTTTATTAACATTTTTGGAACAAGACTTAGTCATTCATTTACATTATAGACTATATTAAAATTTTTGAAACAAGGCCTAGGCATTCATTTATATTATAGGGTTTATTAACATTTTTGGAACAAGGCCTAGGCATTCAGTTAATTATAGGCTTTATTAACATTTTTGGAACAAAGCCTAGGCATTAATTTTCATTATAGACTATATTAATATTTTTGAAACAAGGCCTAGGCATTCAGTTATATTATATACTTTATTAACATTTTTGGAACAAAGCTGAGGCATTCAGTTATATACTTTATTAACATTTTTGAAACAAGGCCTAGGCATTCATTTATATTATAGACTTTATTAACATTTTTGGAACAAGGCCTAGGCATTCAGTTATATTATAGACTTTATTCACATTTTTTAAACATAGCCTAGGGATTCAGTTATATTATATACTTTATTAACATTTTTGGAACAAGGCCTAGGCATTCAGTCATATTATAGACTTCATTAACATTTTTGAAACAAGGCTTAGGCATTCAGTTATATTATAGACTTTATTAACATTTTTGAAACAAGGCCTAGGGATTCAGTTATATTATAGACTTTATTAACATTTTTGGAACAAGGCTTAAGCATTCAGTTACGTTATGAACTTTATGTATTTCTACGTCACGAGTATTTTAGTTTTTAATTATTACTAATAAACCCCAAGATAATTATTATTATTTACATTAACCTAAGATCTAATCAGTTAACAATCTATCTAAATATACTATCAATATGATTTACTCTATTTTGTTATATTTGAAAGTTTGTCAAAAATTTAAATATCAACATTGACTTTACCGTTATTTTGAAAAACTTGTTTAACTAAAATGTTTAAAAACTCTCTCACGAAAATAAATGAAAAAAAAAAGCAACAAATCATTGTACGGGTGGACCCCTAAAAATATTTATTTTTAAACATGAATGTTTTAATGTCTCATAATTGGAATAGGGTTGTTGTTGTTTTTAGCAAACTTAAAGAAGAAATTATTTTTGTTATTTACAACTTGTTAAAGATAGATAAATTGTTTCAGTTTTGCTTGAAAGGTGTCAATAGTGAGGTTTTTGGTTTTGGTTTTGTCTTTACCTTACACGGTATCTCACCAAACTGTTTTAGAAACAAATGTAGTTATACAAGTGTGTAACTTCTAGGAGGGACGGGAGGTGGCTGGTCCACATTCAATGAAAATTGTGACCTCTCGGCTAAAGGGTAAAACAGTGGGTCTGTAAGATGACTCACCAAACCCCCTTGATTTGGTATCAATGTTTTTTTTTCCTTCAAGTCTACTTGCGAATATATTGCTGACATATCCGTGAACTGGGGATCTTTTGGAATTTCTCTATTGAAATGTAATATATCAGCGTTCAATTCCTCATATAACCTCTCTTTACCCATTTCTCGGTAGTCACGTGCTTCCCCCATGTACAGAAAGCTATCCGATTTAGTCACTTGAACTTTCCCAGGTTTTTTTTTCTGGTCGAAAAGGGCATTTGAGCCGACAGCTGCGTGATGGACTTCAAGGATCTCATCATAAGATGTGTTATTGGACGGGCTTTCTTTTCTATTGACGTGACACTGGTAATAGTCACGTGCTTCCCCCATGTACAGAAAGCTATCCGATTTAGTCACTTGAACTTTCCAGGTTTTTTTTTCTGGTCGAAAAGGGCATTTGAGCCGACAGCTGCGTGATGGACTTCAAGGATCTCATCATAAGATGTGTTATTGGACGGGCTTTCTTTTCTATTGACGTGACACTGGTAATAGTTTTGTCGCGATATAGTCATGAAACTGAAAAAATAAATAATAAGTGAGACATCGTGAAACTTTTTGACGGAAGTTTTTGGTGAGAATTAAGAAATTCAAAAAATTGATTAGCATATATCTTTAGTCAAATAATTGGTATTTTAAATAAGAAATTTATTTCTAAAACAAAGCAATGATTTAGAAAGAACTGGAGTTTCACTTAGGGGGCGCAACATGTAACTTTAATTGTCTAAACCCCTCCATCAACAAAAACAATAGAACACAAGCACGGGGATATAAAGAGATTTAGACTTGATTCACTTCACAAGTCCAGTGATATAGACTTGATCTACTTTCGAAGTGCGGTGATTTAAAAAGATCTAGGATTGATCCACTTTAGAAGTACGATAAATAAAACGTGCTAGACTCGATCCACTTAACAGGATAACTTCTACAAGACAGTGAAATGTATTTATTGAACTATGAATACTTGAGATGTCTGTATTCTTTAAACTATGAACATCGGAGGGTTCCTAATCAACTTTGGTAGTGAAAATGTTGACTTACAGAAGAGTGATGTCTGATAGATACAACGGTGGAGTTAAAGGAAGCGAAAGTGTTAAACAAAGCAATATTTTAACACTTTGGTTGCATTGTTTGGGACAGTTGCTAATGCTATAACACGTCTGTGCACAAAAAAACAATGTAGAGAGACCACTCCTTATAGAAATGGACAACTTTATTAAGATATCGTGTAGTGAGATCACTCCTTACAGAAACGGACAAACATAGTAAGATATCGTGTAGTGAGATCACTTTTTATAGAAATGGACAACCTTATTAAAATATCGTGTATTGAGACCACTCCTTATAGAAATGGACAACTTTATTAAGATATCGTGTATTGAGATCACTCCTTATAGAAATGGACAACTTTATTAAGATATCGTGTAGCGAGATCACTCCTTATAGAAACGGACAACCTTATTTAGATATCGTGTAGTGAGATCACTCCTTATAGAAACGGACAACCTTATTTAGATATCGTGTAGTGAGATCACTCCTTATAGAAACGGACAACCTTATTAAGATATCGTGTAGTGAGACCATTCCTTACAGAAACAGATTACCTTATTAAGATATCGTGTAGTGAGATCACTCCTTATATAAACGGAAAACCTTAGTAAGATATCGTGTAGTGAGACCACTCCTTATAGAAATGGACAACTTTATTAAAATATCGTGTAGTGAGATCACTCCTTATAGAAATGGACAACCTTATTAAGATATCGTGTAGTGAGACCACTCCTATTTTTCTAACTTCTGCGTTATTCTGAAGAACATATTTCCAAGTTCTTAAAACTATCGATAACTCAAAGCAGAAAAAAAAGGCCACTTATCATTAACACTGTATTTTATAATCCGCTACGTATAGTAAAAATCAGAGTTACTGACTTACCATATAACAGTGCACATGATGCACACAGCTGACAGGATAAGATTGCTTATGATCAAAGCTGGTAACAGTAAACCTAGTGGTTAAAATAAATAGAAAATTACTAATGAGTATTTATAAACCAGCGACATTTTTATCCTGTTTGAATGTTATATTATTTATTTAAAGATAATTTATGTTATCGGTATTCGAAAACATTCACGATTTTCCATCTTCTCAGGAAAGACTTTTTTATTTGGTTTTGCTTTCTTACTCATTTAAAAACTCTAATTTTATTCTCTTGATACGTCATATTTGTTGTGTCTCCATCTTGTTTGATACCGACAGAGGAAAATATTGTAAAACAGAATCCAGTAAAGCCAATGTGAAAATATGATTGTGCTGCCATCTAGTATTTTACTGAAAAAAAAAGAAAAATAATCTTATACAAAAATAGAAAATAATTAAAAACAACCAGAACAATTTTCTATCACCGTTAATTAATAAGCAAAGAAACAAAAAGAATTATTTGAACACAGTTAATCCATAAACAAATAAAAACACGAGAAAATGATTCTATTTTTCTATCACAGCCAAAAATGCAAACTCAAAAAACGAGTAGAAAAAAAGGACATTTTAACAACGATGAATGATTTAAAAGTGAAAACCGTAGAGTTTCCAAGTCATTCATGCCAAAAAAATTTATAGACGAGCTTTTCATAGAGCTTTATAAGTATCAATAAGCCACTTTAAAGTGACGAATCCTCTGAAAATTGTACATCAGTTTACACCTGAAAACAACAAAGTGCGTTTGTTTTTATTTAATAAACACAAAGCTGCATTATCGAACCCCTGATTTTAGCATTGTAAATCCGAAGATTTACCGCTGTCCCACCGGGAAGCAGTTCTTCGATGTTAATATTCAGTTCCAATCAGATCACGCTATCCACTTAGATAAAAAAAAAAAAATCAATTTGGTAATGAGAATAGTTAAAGTTTTAACATCGTTTCATTAGTTTGGTATCCTCACTGTTAAATATATTTTTTTACCGTGGTTGTAAAACATTGTTCAAAGGGTCACGTATTACCCCACACAGTTCGGGCAAATTGTTTGGTCTGTTTGACAAATCTAAGTTCTTATATGAGCCCATACAGCTTCCCTTTTCTTCCCGGATGTCGTTTCACTACATTTGATGCACACTAAGAATCACTATCTTATTATTATACTTGTCAACAGTCAGGGTGCCATCATTTGTTGTGTAGATTTCCTATGTCATGTGCTTGTAGATGTACGTTGATACTATCCTCCTCTCTACGATCGAACAAACTACTTGTTGTTGGACCATTTGAACTTGGATTCATCTGTAAGAAAACAACAACAACACTTTCCAGCTTTGATAATCCGTCTGTTTGGGATCTGATGCCCATTTCAACCTTTTGGTTTGGTTATCTCTTCTATCTGAGAAGCTACAGGTCCACTGAGAACAGTTCATGCTAATGCGCACCTTACAGTTCTTTAGGTGACATTCGCACCCTACTTACAAGGTCATTGGCAAGGTCTGTACTCGACTGTGTCACAAAGCCTCAGATACTTAACACTACTTTTGCAGGATTTTAGTTTTCTAGCTCGGCCAAGTTCTATTATTAACAGTACTAGTTTCGTATACCCACACCTCTTAAGAGTTTCCATGCTAAAGTACGGAGTATCTTTATCACCCATAAACTTTGATTTTACATTCAGAGTCATTAATAATTAAACATTGTTAGGCCTACTTTAAGCTGAATGTATAGAAGTTAATCTGATTCGTCCTGACAAATCGATATAGGTTCAGTAAATCGCTAAATTCATCATCTAGCTATATAATAAATAAATAAAAGATATAGTTGTGTCTTTAATTATTATGATTCAATATGTTATTACTAAGAATTTTCTAATATCGTTTACTGATATTAAAATATTATTAATTATGAACGTTTTAGCAGTCTTAGACGAGACTTTACGTTATCTCAACAAAGTATAACACACACAGTGCAGCGAAACACGTGATAACCTGTTAGTTCTTTTTCAAACGGTAGACGGTTGTCAACGCTAAGCCTCAAACATCAGTACACTATATTACACTCAGTAAGCTAATTATCGACGCAATCCGCCCCATGCCAATTTTTCAAAAATTACATTATTTTCATCGTACATAAACTGTGATTTAAAATAAGCATACATAACGCTCGAATAAAGAATCTGTGGTGAATATTAACCACCCCCACCCTCCGCAGTGTTAAGTCCATATTATGGTGAATATTAACCACCCCCACCCTCCGCACTGTTAAGTCCATATTACCCCAGTTTAAAATTACCTGAATTACTGCGCATTCTCACAGCTTGAGAAGTTATAACTCTAAAATTCGTGTTTTGATCCTCGCTGTAGGCACGGTAAAAATAGCCCCCTTGTGAAGTTGCTGGGGATTTTTCAGAAACAGTTCTTATACCTTAAATACTATTATGATATATTATGTTTATTTTCAAAATAAAAGTTATATTTTTGTAAGTATATCAGTTGTTTTGTAACACGTTAAAGAGCCTACCTTCGATATACGAGTGTATCAGCTATTTTGTAACTCGTTAAAAGAGCCTACCTTCGATATACGAGTGTATCAGTTGGTTTGTAGCACGTTAAAAGAGCCTACCTTCGATATACGAGTGTATCAGTTGTTTTGT